TTCCCCCACCCCCCGACCCCCGGCCTCTGGCAACTACCAATCTACTTTCTGTCTCTGGGCATTTACCTCTCCCAGACATTTCATATGCATAGACTCATACAATACATGCCTTTTTGTGATTGACTTCTTTCGCTTAGCATAATGTTGTCATGGATCATTCATGTTGTAGTAGGTATCATCCTTCATTCCTTTTTGTGGCTAAATAATATTCCCTTGTATCGCTCTACCACATCTGGTTTATCCATTCCATGGTTGATGGACATTTGGGTGTTTGTACTTTTTCGGTTGTTGTGAGTAATGCTGCTAGGGATATTCACGTACTAGTTTTCGCGTGGATATGCTTTCAGTTCTCTTGGGTTTGCACTTAGAGTGGAATTACTGATGTTTAACAAGGACAGTACAGGGCGTCTGGCCCAACCCTTCATTTAGTGCAGGAATGAAAATGAGAATTTTCATTACAGAATATTACCCACCTGCCTCACCATGCCATTTCCATTCTTCTGCATAACCAGGACAGACGGCCGACAACTCCCACTGCTCTGTTTCGCCGGCGTCTGCTTTTGCCATTGCCACGGCAGCGGCAGGACACGGAAGTCCACCAGGTGAGTGGGGCTGAGCGGCCACGTGCAACTGACGGGAATGTATACTAAATCAGTGGCGCTTGCCTGCCGGTGTCGGTGAGACACCGGGCAGCTCACTAAGAAGGCAGATTCCCAGCTCCCATTCTAAGTCAGCGTGTCAGATGGCCTTTGATTTACTTATTTATTTATGTACTAACTTATTTTTAATTTTGTTATTTGAGTATAGTTGACACACAATTTGACACTAGTTCTGGGTGTGCAGCCGAGTGATTCAACATCTCTGTACGTTATGCTGTGCTCACCACAAATGTAGCTACCATATTATTGACTATATTCCCTATGCCGTGCCTTTTATCCCCCTGACTTACTCATTTCACAGCCAGAAGCCTGTATCTCCCACTGTCCTTCACCCATACACTGTCTCTTAATAAGCGCCTTCAGGTGAGTTTTATACTGGTGTTGTGTGGGTGATACTTTGAAGAACTTCTGTGTCACAGAAGGATGTGATATTTCTCCCATGTTGTTTATGGAGTTCTCTAACCTTTTTAGCCAAATTACCAGGAACAAGTGTTTCCTTCATAATTGAGTAAAATGGTAAAAGCATATACAAGGCGGTCGGGAAGGCTTGTGGAGGGAAGGGGGGTGGAGGGACTATTGCTTAACAAATCTGTATGTGGTTTAAACAGCTTTGTTGCTGTGGGGGTCTTCACCTAAACTAACCCCATGGGTTTTGATCATCACGCTTTGTAGAACCATGAGTGAGGGTGTATTTTGTCAATTAGCCATTGTTCACCTACCACAAAAGAGTCCATTTCCAAAGCCTATGAACCTGTATTCAACAATAGTAAGTAGTAAGTACTATCTGTGTGAATTCTTTCTAAATTGAAGTAAGAACAAACAGAGATGTTCTATAATGAACATGAACTACCATAGGAATTATACATACATATGTATGTATCCCATCTGAGTGGAAATCTTTGCAGATTAACCACATTCCACCTCCAGTATTTTGTCACACGTGATGCATTGGACGTAGTCAGGAAATTGGGGTATATTTGCTCTAACTGTTCTCAAAACCTTCCCCCCAAATTCCCATCAACATAACACAAAACAGCCAATAACGGTAATAGCATTGATGTCTTGTCAATCCATTTGACTTCTGGTGTCGACTCCATTCATAATAACGAACATCTCTTTGGTGAAATGATGAAGGAGTCTTCACTCCTCTCTCAGCAGAATTGGCTACCAGCTGCAATTTGTTGAGGTCCTCTCCTCCTGTCTTTCGTTCTCAGAAGCTAGTCCATATTGGGAAAAAGTAACGTACAGAACTTCCTCATAGGTTTTATCATTTAAATATCGTTCATGAGGAAAGAGAGTTTTTATGTTAATTCTCCATGAGCCTATTTACGCATTTGCTGGAGGCTGGGGAGGGGGAAGGTCCTTCTTTTTCACCTGGGATTGCAGCAAAGTTCTGATGAGCTTTACAGAAGGGCATCTGACTTAGGCTTGTGCGTGCATAATGGGCCAGAGGATAAAGGAACCAAAACAGCCAAGTCTTCCGCACCATTGGAACACTGCCATTTCTGCTGCCTTTCTTCTTACTTCTCCCCTGCTACTGAAATACCTTAGGAAGAAGGCTCCCTTCAGTGAGCCAGCTGAGGAGGGGTGGATGGTGATTGCCCATAGCCAGTGCGGCGAGGGAGGCTCACCTGATCCTGAATGAGCGCACTGCTTTTTTATGACCATGCTGCTGGTGTTGCCTGGAATGTGGTCTGGTGCCACCTGATTCCATTTTAGAAGTCAGGGAAATAAGGGATTGGATTTGGCGGTGGCTGTGGCCCTGCGGTAAGGGTGGCAGGTTGCACATGGGTCAGTTGCAGTGGCTAGTGGCGGTGAGAAAGGGGGTTTATTTTGGAGTGGGGGCCAGTATATTCCTGGCCGTATGGTGTGCAGATTGGGCTTCCATGTTTCAGGCTTTCTTCAGGTTCCCTCCTGCTTTAATCCTCTCCCACTCCTACCCCCATCTAAATACACAGGAGTCTGGCAGCTCTGGGTTAGACTGGTCAATTAATGAGTATGTTTTCAAATATTCACTGCAGGCATTTGCATGTGAAGCCATTTCTCTTTAATTGCTTGGAAGGCTTTGCTACTTCATTAAAAGGAACTTAAAATTTAGCAAGAAAGTGGACAAAGTTTTCTTTGTAAAGACCCCAGACAGGTTGCACTTGCTTGGCCCTGAGGGCAGAGAAAGCTGATTTTATTTGTGGAAGGTGGCCTGGGGATCCACTCTCCAGGGTCTGGGCCTGCCTAATTTCCACACACACTGGAAAAGCCTGGGTTTTCCCCCCACTGGTTTCTTTTAGGACCTAGATGCCAGCCCTTTCCAAAGATAGGCAGGTCTCTCCTTCCATATCATGTTCCCTTTGCCTCTATTGGCGGTTCCTCATTGGAGATGAAGGAAGGCCTAATTCTGTGGGTATATTTGCAACCCTAAAGCAATCCTTGTTAACTTCACATTATGAAGATTTAACAGTGTATTTAGTACTTGCCTTCTGATTGGCAGCCAAGTTACATTGGGCCCACTTATATAGTAAGATCCAGAATTTGGGGGCCTAACACTTATATAATTGCCTCAAAGAAAAAAAATACAAAATCACAAATATAAACCTTTAGGATAGCTCCCAGGGCTTTGGAAGAAGCCCATACACAGTGAGAGGCTCTGAAGCTTAAGTGTCATTGGCTTCCTACTAAATAAGCTTCTGAGTCCAGTCCAGATCATTCTTGGAATTGCAGTAGCTATAGGAAATTTTGTTATTTGGAGAGTGGGGGGTGGGACCAGTCATCATCATCAGTCAATCAAGTGCCCTTTCCTGTAGTGGAGCTTTAACTCTATACAAGACCGAGATGAAGGATGATTAGCAGGGTCTTGTGTGTCACTACACTGGTTGCAATGCATTTTGAGGCATCTGCTCAAATTTAGAAGCTCTGCATTAAAGTAGAAATTAAAATGTGTGCATTTCAGAGGGTTGCTGATACAGGGAATCTGCAGGTGCAGTTTGGATATAGTTGTGACACGAATAGAAATGCACATCCAGTGAATACACATATCAGGGCACATCGTGATGCTTACTACACACCTGAAGCCCTAGGGTTAATTATAGAGCTTATGAAATCATCTAAAGTGAAATATGAAAGTGTGAGGTGGTTATTTGTATAAGACTAGAAATAATGGCAGGGAGGTTGTACAAGCAACTCTTGGTTATCTGTGAGTAGATGATATGTTTTACCATTCTCTATGCAAGTCAAGGTAAATTAACAAAATAGAGGAATGGTCTAATGTACTTATGGGAAAGTTCATGGCACAGTTACAATTGCTTAGAGAAATAGTGAGTTCTTTACTGGTAATTACTTGGTACTTGTAAAGTAGATAATTCATAATGTTTTCTTTTCTGCCAAACCACTCAAGCCTGTGTAGTCAATAATAGATCCGAACTTGGTGTGAATTTGGCTTGGGCCAGTTTTTAAAAATCATGGTACCTGGCCCCATCCCCAGAAATTCTGACTTGATTGGTCTGGGTACATCCTGGGCATCAGCATTTTTTAAATTTCCCCAGGTCATCCTAGTGGGGAGCCACGCTGGGGAACTGCTGGACTCTGGAGGAGGTGTGTTTGTTCTTTCTCTGGTTGCAGCATTCCCAGTTTATCTCATGGAAGCTCTGACCCCCCTGGAGTACATTATTTTCTCTTTGGATAAGACAGGAGTGGGAGGGATGCTCTTCCCCAAGCTGGGTAAGGCTTAGGCAGTCTTTTCCCCTGCAGAGTAGACCTTTTTACAGAGAAGGCTCTGGGCATATTTCACAACGGTGCTCTTCCCCCTTCCCTGCAAGAGCCAGAAATATTGTGGGGACCCCCTACGAAGGCAGCCCTCAGCAGTTCCCACGGTAATGCTGGTCCACGCGCAGCCTCTAGCAGTTGGTCAAAATGACCATTCAAGGTTGCTGCCAGTTCCTGGCTCCAGCAACTTCTGCTCCCGATAAGCAGGTATCAGCTGTGTCTCTCAGGATGCACCGGTCCCTCCAGATTTGGGGCTGGTCATTTGTCCTGCAACCTCAATTTTCTGATGTGTCCAAGAAAAGTCATTGATTTTCAGGTTGTCCACCTTTTATTTGTTGTAAAGACAAATGTGTCAGCTTCTAAGTTCTTTACATGTCAGAGCTGAAATTGGAAGTCTCCCTCGGAATTTTTATAGTGATTCTATTGATTCCGTAGGTCAATTTGGGGAGAATTGTCAATCTTAACAATATTTAGTCTTTTAATCTATGAATGTAGAATGTCTTTTTATGTATTTATATCTGTGCTCATTTCAGCAATGTTTTTTATTTCTCAGCATACAAGTCTTACATTTGTTTTGTTGCATTTATTCCTAAATATAAATGACTCTTTTTTGATTTGTCAGCCTCACCTCCCTCACCACTGGAGGTATCCCAGTTTGGGACCTATTTTCCATTATTTTTTTTTCAAAGTAAAAAACATTTTTTCATTATTTCACCAAAGATAGATAGTTGAAAGTTTTGGGGATAGAATGTATCTAATTTATATTTTTAAGTAAAACATTATTATCACTATTATTGAAAAATAAAGAGCTTTGGTAAATCAAATTTAAATTAGCAATGATTCCAACTCTTATTTTTAAACACACACACACACACACACACACTCTCTCTCTCTCTCTCTGCCCAGAATAAGAATTTTGGACCTGAGAAGTTACATCTTTAACTGTACCAGCCTGCACAGCAGCTAGGAATGTTCGTGTCAGGTGGTCACTGCATTCTTTTCCTGGGAAGGAGCCCCGCAGTAAGCTAGGTCATATGGAACACCTCTTCTGCTCATCATATGTCTTTCATATGCTTTCAAGCAGACCCAGAGCCTTGTTCCAGCTGGCCTGGGCACCCTCTCTCCTGACCATGTTGCATTGCCAGGTTCACTTTCTTTGTGCTGCCCTCTCCAGGAGACCCTTCTCC